AAAGAAGAGGAAGAGGTGGAAGTAACAGAGATTGGTAGGTGGTGGATCATAATTCCAGCTCCTACCTCACCATAGGTCAGTGATGGCGAACCTTTTGAGCTCAGTCGGCGTGTCAGCATTTTGAAAAACCCTAACTTAACTCTGGTGCTGTGTCACATATAGAAATTTTTTGATATTTGCAACCATAGTCAAACAAAGACTTACATTTTTGATATTTTTTTTATATATTTAAATGCCATTTGACAAAGAAAAGTCAACCAAAAAAATGAGTTCGCATGTCACCTCTGACACGCGTGTCATAGGTTCACCATCACTGCCATAGGTTCTTGGTAAACCATATAGTGTCTTGTTTCTGTCCCATGTATTAGATTCATTCATTGTTAACTTTTTCTGTAAAGGCTTAGATAGTAAATATTTTAGGTTTTGTTGGCCATGTTGTCTCTGTCACAGCTTCCTAACTGCCATTAGAATGCAGGAACAACCATGACAAATGCAAATGAATGAGTGTGGCCATGTTCCAATAAAGTTTTATTTACATGAATAAATTATTTGACTCATGGGCTGTAATTTGCCAATCGCTGGCATGATATCTACTTAATACAGAGAATTTAAAAAGAGAGAAGTACCATAAAAAGAAAAGATAGAGAAAATTATGAATAAAGAAGGCTTAAATGAAGATGACAAGTGAGAAAACTGGTTTGTCAGAGAAAAACTGGAGTTATAGACATTTTCTACAAAAACAATAACACTCAAAGACTAATATCTGAAATCTATTTTTGATGAAAAATTATTTAGCACAGAATTTAAACACCAACTGGGAAACTTAGCTTTACAGTCGATCTCTGGGGGAGTCATGTGACTGTTCTTCAAGTTAAAAGGAATACTACAGAACTAAATCCTCTTTGTAAAGTGTCCACTGTTATTTCAGTGGATACTATCAATCTAGTGGATCATGGTGGCTTTTTCATTGCTACTCTAATTACTTTAGAGGTCAATTCTAAAAACCTTTATCAGATATTTACTTAGTTAGTATACAAGAGGGATAGAAATCATGACTATATTCTTCTGTTTTACATTTTTTTCTCGTTTCCATAAATCTTTATGATGCACTATCATATGGCATGTTTCCTATATGTCAGCATCAATTACTTTGAACACCTTATCAAAATAATTTACCAGCATACTATAAAATAGAACATTAGCAGAGTCCCTCAGGGTTTCTCCTATGTTTATAATTCTAAAACTTGGGAAGCAACTTGAATGAATTGATCATTTTGAGTGGATACAGACCTATAATCTCTTACCTGAAACTCTTGGGCCCAGGTGTGTTTCAGAGTATGATCCTTTCAATTTTTAGGACAGCAATATGTTTCCTATGCCACATAGCTCGTACACTTCCAGTGAGGCCTGCAGCAGCACCCCATAATCACGTATATTAATTCTGCTATAGCCAAACTCATTTACACCAAATAGAATAAAGACCACTATTAGCCTCTTGTCAATTCCATTTAAAATTTTGCTGTCATGCCCTAGCTAGTTTGGCTCAGTAGATAAATCCTTAGCCTGGGGACTGAAGGGTCCCGGGTTCAATTCCAGGTCAAGGGCACATGCCCAGGTTGTGGGCTCGATCCCCAGTAGGGGACATGCAGCAGGTAGCCAATCAATAAGTCTCATCATTGATATTTCTATCTCTTTCCTTCTCCCTTTCTCTCTGAAATAAAAAAATTTTTTTTTGCTGTCAGATGTCTTTAGTTTTATTTTTTTAATTAAATCTTTATTGTTCAGATTATTACATTTGTTCCTCTTTTTTCCCCTCATAACTCCCCTCCGCCCAGTTCCAGCACCACCCTCCACCCT